GGTTTAGTGGTCTTCCGGCCCACGGTCACCGCAACGGGCAATTCATCCCGCACCTCACTCATCCTGCCACTGGACGAAATGGAGGACCTCTCAACCTCTGAGTGTGGTCCTTGCCAGGCGGATGCTGATGCACTCAGCAGGTTGCTAGCGAAGATTAGTCTCGTCAACAAGACTGACAGGAGCGCCTTTGCGGTGGACTTCTGTAATGCCTCGTTCATTGTGTGCATCCGCCTGCCTGACGGGGCTGAGGGGTATCTGCTGGTCAGCAACCCACACGCACACGCAGTGTCACACACACACACGCGCGCGCGAACGCACAGCGTCGCTCGCTGTCTCTCTCTCTCTCTCTCTCTCTCTCTCTCTCCCCATGTGGTTGTTTGTTGATCGATTCCTCGCAGCTACTGTGGGGCAACCGTGAGGATGGATTTGAAGTGACAGAGTTGCGGGAGAACCTGAGGACGACGGTAGATTTCCCGCGGGACATTTATGAGCTGAAGCACATCCTCGGTCTGTGGATTTCCAGCGTGCCTTTCGAGGGCCATCTGATGGACGAAGTTGGCAACATGACGTCTCTACGCCTGCTCTACATCAGGGGGACAATTATGAATGGAACAATCCTCAAATCCATCAACAACCTGACTTCTCTCAAAGCGCTCGACATCATCGGCTCGTCACAGAAATCTTTGAGCTTCTCGGGGCAATTGCCTAATCTGAATCTTCCCTCCCTCGAGCTGCTCGGTATCACCGATGCAGCGCTTAATGGACCGTTCTCCGTCGCCAACCTGATGCAAATCAAGTACCTGACGCTCGAGCCGGCCGATTTGCACCTTGGCAGCATCCCTTCCACCCTCGGGCACAATCTGACGTCGCTTGTGCTCGAGAATGTCAGTCTGAGCGGTCGCATACCGGACTCTTTGGGAGAGCTTCACCATCTCAAGACCCTTGATCTGCAGCGGAACAACCTCTCTGGGCCTATCCCGATGTTTCTCAGAAATCTAACTCGCTTAAGACATCTCAGACTCCAGAGCAATTCTCTATATGGCAGCCTGCCTGACGGCTTTGGCTCAAACTGGCCCGATCTCGAGGAGTTAGAGCTCCAAGAAAATCAGGCAAGTCAAGAAACGCGTAAAGCAAAGAGAGACACGAATGTGGAGAGCAAAAGGCGATGTGCTCTTTGGCTTGCAGCTGTCAGGGTCTCTCCCCGCATCTCTCAGCAAGGCAAAAAACATACGTCGCATCGACCTTCACAGCCAAAAAGGCGGATGAGGGCTTCTCCGGCGGCCTTCCTCCGGAGTGGGGCTTGCTGACCAACCTAGAGCACCTGATACAACAACCTCAATGGCACCATTCCTGAGCAGTGGGGCAACTTTTTGCAACTGAGGGAGTTGTATTTGGAGTGGAACAAGCTATCGGGGACCTTGGACGCCCTCGGATTGCCTCCACAGCTAAAGAAAGTTCATTTGAGCCATAACAAGGTCTAGAATCAAAGCAGGACCAGGGCAAAGAAATTACTTTAATTTCTGTGTCTGACATTGCTTGCCAACAGTTTAATGGACCAGTCCCTGATGGGCTGGCGGAATGCGCAGAACTGAAAGAGCTTGTCGCTGACAACAACAAGTACGGTCTTTCCGTCGACCGAAGGACACACTGCTTATGTGCTTTGATCTCTGTATCGGGCAGTCTGGCAGCCCTCCCATCCTCGCTCGATGAGTGGACAAGCCTAACGACACTCTCCTTAAGCAACAACAATATGACCGGCACGCTGCCATCCCTGTCCCCTATCAAGAGACTCAGAATGGTAGACCTGAGTTGCAATCGCATTGAGGGCTTCACCGGCAACGGATCCCTCCCCGAGACGTCAGCAAGAGAAAAGGAGACACACAATGACGCACGTTGACCTTTTTTCACTTTTACATTGTTCAGCCTGGAAGATATCAATTTTGACACCAACGCCCTTGCCATTATCCCAGCAAGCTGGCATTATCTTCCTGCTGCTAAAAAGCTCCTTTTGAGCAACAACAGCTTCACTGCATCCACGTGGCCAGAGTGGTTTGAAACGGCCAAAGGATATTGTGCTAATGACCGGATCTGTAAGACAGCGAATAGCCTGCTCGTGTAGTCTTTTTCTAACTCATATCTGTTGCTCTATTTAGCGACGTTGTCTGAAGCCAAAGAGTGGTTGTCTGCCAAGGAACCGCCCGATTGGCCCGTGTTGCGTGAGCTCGACGTGAGCTTCAACAGTCTGCACATCGACGTCACCGATTTTCTCCAAGGGTTCCGGGCTCTGCCAAGGTGAGTGAGACACATGAGTGGATCCAGTGCATTGGCTCATTGTCTTCTGTCCTATCCTTGCAGCCTATCAAATCTCAGCTGCGCTGAGTGTCAGCTAAAGGGAAATTTGACCTGCGCCGTTCTCTATCACTTCGACAGAGATGACGTTCAAGAGCTGGTCGACAGCCGACCCGTGGAATGGAGTGGCTCGGCAGTAAGCAGTGCTCAAGACACGCCCACACACGCACAAACACAGCACATTTCTTGTCCCCTGTATTGCTCAAAGCAGGGCTATGTAACTTTCAAAGACAGCTTCAAAGCTCTTTCAGGTAGCATCACAGTTATTAAACTTGAAGGAGGACAACACCGATTGCTGATTGCCCTGGGACGGTAACACCTATGTCACATTTCAGCGACTGGCATCCTCACTCTCGCCTTCAACCATATCACGGCGGTTGACACGAGTGGTGAACCGCTGAAAAAAATGGCGCATGACATTGACCTGCGCAACAATAGCTTGGAGCGATTCGATGTGCCGGATTCTCCCTCCGATTGGCCCTCGTACTTGAATCTGAAGAACAACACCAATCTGCGGCTCTTCGTCAACACGACAATGAAAATCAAGGTGAGCAACAGCTTTGTGACCACATGATACAGTGACGGACATTGTGATTTACGGCTTGGCCGCTCAGGACTGCGCTGAGCTGACCGCTATGCGTGACAGAGGGATTCAGGCGCTTGTTCGGAACCCAAATTGGCCTGAACGAAGTGTGCAGATAGCAAGCGAGGAGGAGACATCATGAATTCATTGCATGTCTCCCTGCTGACTCAGATGACGACAACGGGGTCTCAAATGGCCAAGTGTGCACGAGTGTCTGCCGTATATTGAACGATGTACAGGTGAGCATTGAATAACGTGATCCTCCCCCTGAATGGGTCATCTGCTGCGCTCACAGCTTGACCATAGCATCAACCCGACCGCGCTCTGTCGATGTATTCCTGGCTATGATGGTGCTGGAGACAACTGCACTGAGTGCCCCGCTGGCTTTTACTCAAACCACAATGCCGGCACGCACATGTGCCACCCCTGCCGAGACACAGAGAGTGAGCGGGAAAACGAAATGCATGGCGGCATGAATGTGCAGACGGAATGAGTGAGGGCGCCAATGAGGCAAAGAGACATGCACGTTTTCTGTTTTTCGTGTACCTTCAGCGTCTCAAGCTGGAAAACAAGAGTGTGACTGCAAAGAGGACCATTTCAAAAACGCCTCCCAAATGTGCCAGAAGAATTGTGAGATAGGGTATGAAAGAGACAAGGACACATGTCGGAAGTGGCCTGCAGGTATGTCCGTAGATTGTTCATCTGGTTCCACGGAGCAAAAACAAGATAGTGCTTTGTGTTGCTACAGGACAGTACGGCAAAATTGAAAACGGCAAGGCAACTTGCGAACAGTGTGGAGCCGACTTAATCTCGCCAGAAGGCAGCACAGACAAGGAATTGTGTTACTGTACAAATGGATTCATCAAGTAAGCCGCGGCTGGCAGGCGACGTGCAAGTCTCGTTGTTGTGTGTCTGTGTCTCTTTCGCAGGCACAGCAGCAAACTTAGATGCGAGAAGTGCATCGAGGATATGCAGGGCCTCGACTGCGAGCAACCCATAAAGAATCGCTCCCTTGTGCCCACAAAGAAGGGGTTCTACCTGCTAACCTACGACGACAGAATGACAACGTGAGGAGCGCCTAGTAGAAATATGTATGGCATGTGGAATTGACGCTTCCACATGTGTTCATTTGCAGATATGCTGCCAAAAACACGACGCTTCCTGTGGTGATTCCCTGTCCATTCAAGCAGGCATGTGATGGCGTGGACGAAGACACAGGGCTGACCAAATGCCTGGTAAAGTTGGGATACATATAAGCCAAGTTTGCTCATATTTGTGGCCATGTTTGCAGTCAGAGAAAGGATCCAAGTACCGGGGATTCGTATGTGGCCTGTGCGAGAAGGAATATGCGAGAAGAGGGCCGACACAGCCGTGTCATCCTTGCGGTGAAGTACACTGGAACATTCTGTTCGCCTTTCTCTTGATAATCGCATCTCTCGTGGCCATCTTCGGCCTCGCATGGCTTGCAGAAAGGTGCGTGCAGGCATAGAAGTACATACATTCGTCTCTTTGCCCATCTGGGTTTCTCCTTTTCTGCAGAGCTGGGACAAGACCTCGCGACGACGTGATTCCGGTAAATCCATTTCTCCATTAGTATTGGTATGTCACTACTGTATGTTTGCCTGTTGCCACAGGCACTCTTCAAGTTAGGCCTGAACCATCTTACATCGGTATAGTTGCAGGCAGGCGGATGCATCATAGCTGAGCATCTGCAAATGCCTTTTCTCTTCAGATAAGTGTGCTGGCCATGCTGGTGCTATCGATTTCCTACGACGTCAAGCACCTCTCTAAGGTCATCGTGCCAACTTCTCGCCTCTTCACCTGGGACGGAGGGATGCCCTTTGCCTACGGCTCCTGGTGTGTTGTGTGACGCGTCCGGGCGCTTTTGTGTGTACATGTGGGTGTGCGATTTATGTGTTTCAGGGAGTGCATCATCGACCGGTGGGGTCGCCACGACAATGCCGTGCTGTGGAGACATGCCGCTTGGGTTGCCGTGCCGCTCGTCTGCCTTATCGTCATCCCAGCCATCGGCGCCATCTTCCTGTGATGCCACAAACGCCTGCAGCGCTGTAGACGGCGACGGCGACCTGTCGAGCGGCGGTCATCGTCACAGGACGATGCGGCTCGTAATGTAGTCAGAGACAAGTCGCGCGACACGCCCCGCGACGTTGGCCTGGACGTGGCCCGCGATGTGGCCCGCGTCGACAGACGAGACTGCTGTGCTCGAATGAAAACAGCCGCGGACCAGCGGGCGGCATTGTTTATCATCATACTGACGTTCACGCATCCCACGGTCACAAGGAACATGCTGATGCTGCTGCGATGTCGGGAGCACAAAATTAGAGATAGCAACAAGTTGCTTTCGTGGCCCGACGTCAATCCGGACCTTCGTTGCAGGGAAGGCCTCCATCTCAATTTCTTCCGAATCGGTGTTTTAGGCCTCATACTGTAGAGCTTCTCGCCCGTCATAATCGGCGTGGTGCTACTGTGCTGTATCCACAACCAGCTGCACTCCCCCAAAATGCGCAAGGTATGAGAGAGACACCACGATATAGAAGCATCTCTTTTCTTCTGCTTTCCGCAGAGGTTTGGGTTTTTCTACCAGGTAAGGGTCTGCCTCTAGCGCCAGAGTAAGTGAATGGCAAGAGATGCAGATATCTGTATACGTGTTTGTTGGCGGACAGGGATATAAACGGGCGTACGCCTGCTGGGTCAGAAACACTTGAAAGAAAAAACTGAACTTGTTGTCTATTCTTTCTTCCTCTGCCTCTTGGCGCACAGGACGCTGTGTTTGCTCTAAGGTCAACACTGGAGACCGCTTCTATTGTGTCATCACCGTCCTTTCCTACTGGATGGATGCAGGCGCGTGTTGGTGCTGCTCATCTCGCACATGGTGGTGAACGACCCAAATCTTCAGCTGCATTATTGGGCCATTGTTGCATTTATCTGCCTCACGGCCCACCTGATCATCTCGCCTTTTGATCACCGACATATGAACCTCCTCAATCGGATGGAAAGCCAAGGTCTCATCATCTGGCTGGCGTCAATCATGCTGCTGTCTGTCATCCTTCATGAGGCCAGGTGATCACTCAAGACGCACTATGTTCCTGAGGGCTTCTGTCATGCCCTTGCATGTGCCACGTGCACTGTCCCCCAGAGATGTGAATGGCGGAGATGCAGTGTACATCAACGTCTCGATGTTGATGCTGGCCATGCTCCTCAACCTCTATCACTACTTCAGTCTCTTGTCCCTTATCTTCCGCTCTGCCCTCTCACAAGTTGCTGAAAACAAGGATGCCCTCACCTTCAGGCCCATTTTTGTATTGACTGCCTTTTCTTCCCTACTTTCCCTACGAGAGGCCCCCGTGCTTGCTTCCTCCGTGCTTTACTGCAAGTCCATCGCCTTATGCTTATCCCGGCTCAAGAGACAGCTGTTGGAGTGGCACACAGGGAGGGAGGAGCAACGACGCATGAGGCTCGGCAAGGTGTGGCTAGATTGGAACACCGGCAAATTCTCGCTGATGGAGCCGCCTGCCACCGACAACATGTCACACAACACTGCTTCATCACCTGAGATTGTCATTCACGGCAAGAAGCAGCATGACAGACTCTCTGGCGTCGTCCGCTTCGCGAAATCACGCGCCGAAGAGTGGTGGATTGCAAGAAAGCGTGAGTTGGTGATGCGGATGTTGACTGCGGCTATGCAAGAAGCCGTCGACCTGCTGCAAATCAAAGAGGTCAGAGGGACCGATACAAAATCTGTGTGATCCAAAAGCTCGGCATCTCGATCGATCGTGTCAGGTCCCGCCGGACTTCTTAGATTTCCTGTGGTCCTATTGCTTTGTCCTCCACTCTCCATACATGAAGAAGGAAGTGAGACAAGCGGAGTGAATGGAGTGACACTGCTATGGTTGACCTACTTTTCAGACTGAGCGACGGGAATTCGAAAGAATTTGGCGCGATGAGCCGTGGGACGGTTAGTAAGCTGAGAGAGAAGAATGCTGGCAGAAATCGGATTGCGTGTCTCTCTGGTCTCGTCCGTGAACACAGTCGCCATCCAGGAGCGCCCGGTCATCCAAAGCTCGTACAGCCATCTGTGTCAGCAGAGCACAATGGAAACGAGGCGAGGCTCTGTTTGGGTAAGGGATCTCGCGGAGTCTGACAAATCCTTCGTGGCTTCTGAAAGGTCAGCACAGAGTCACATGCATTGGAGAAGCAACGTGCAGTCGCTGGGTGCTGCCTCGGTGAATGAAGGTCTGCGGCTGACTGTGCCAAGAGCGGCATGACATTGCACGACCTACAGGTGGAGACGCGGTACACGCACTCCCGCATTCTTGTCCACACAGCTTGTGTGGGTATATGTGTGTCTTCATTTCAAAGTCAAAACTGCTGCTTGTCGTGGACAAGTTGGTCACGTTCCAGAACATGTACGAAGAGAATATCCACCTCAGCAAGCGCACAAGGAGCCCGAAAGTCAGAAGTCCATCCGGGCGCAACGTTGCAAGTGGGTTTCACAATAGTGACCAAGCATTTTCGGGTGTGTCGTCCTGTCTTTCAGAAGAAGACAAGAGCTTTGTGCAATCGGTCACTGGCACAGATGACGTTCTTGAGACGCATGAGCACATTGGTGGATGGCGTGAGCTATATGCGGCTTACAAAAATGCGAAACAAAAGAAAAGACACGGCAGGCCACGCTCGGTAGGCGAAAAAACTTGCTGTGAAGCCTTTGCTGACAGTACTCATCGCTTTTTGTCTGTCCAGACATCTGCGCAGACCTACGAGTTGGAGCATGAAGGTGGTGTCGATGTAGAGAGGCTGATGACGGGTGTGGAGCGTATGATAGCGGCCCACGTCTCGGAGGGTGTCAGCGAGGGGGTGTTGGGTGAGGGGCAGCTGGATGAGAATGAGCAAGGGCTTTCATATGGTGAGGGGCACACATGATTCAGGTGCATGTGGGGTCTTTTTCGCACATATGGCATGTCTCAGTGGGTACCTATTTTTCCCATCTCCCATTTCCCATCTCACCAAGAGAGTGCGTTCTGTGCCACGAAAGGGCTGTTTTCGAGAATGAGGGGGGATAGAGCATAGGTTTTGATTGCGTATGAGATGCGAACCCTGCTTTTTCTCGCAGTCGTCTTCTTTTAGTGTTGCTATTTTTCTTTTAGTGTCTCTTTAAAACGAGAAGATAGAGCACACCTTTGTCAGCGCCCATGCGAACACGTAATAGATGCATGGATTTGGGGTCGGGCAGCCGTGTCGCTGTCCTGCATGATTCTGTGCCTTCTTCTGTATGCTCTGGCTGTGACTGACAAAGCAGCCGAGGTGGCAGGTGAGATGAATGGACCAGCAAATTACGGTGAAAGCATGCAACGGTCAGTCAGTCACACAGGCATCGATTGCGCAGAAGAAACGGCATCTGTCATACTGCTCCGGCAAATTTGTCGTTGCATAGCACATAGACTTATGGACAGACACACATAGAGCGACACAAACAGACATACATTATACAGACAGAATCGCAGGCACATCGCCACCCCTTTCGCGTCTCAGACGCTTGTGGACGCGCCGGACGAGACTTTTGGTCCACAGGGAGGTCGCGAAGAAGGCTTGGACTGAAAAGGTGAGTGCCAGCAAGGACACGAAGATAGGAAGGGCACAGTGTAGGATGCTGCCCCTGGTCACGTCACGAAAAAGCCACTCAGATATGAGCGAACAGTTGAAGAGCATCGTCTCGGCAATGACACACGCGAGGGCCGCCAAGCAGATGACGTAGAATGCTGCGGGCAGGACCCGAGACAGTATAGTGGCCGGCACGATCAACAAGGAGGCCTTCACTCTGTTGTCGACCTCCCTCAGC